GGGGGGGGGTAAGAACTGCCTCCTGCTGCCTCCTGGGCCAGGCTAAGGTCTACTTCTCCAGTTTACCCAGAAACTTAAGAAGAGGTCCTGCCTGGTGGCCACAGCCCCTGCCCCAGCACTGTCCTCCCCAACCTACTGCCAGGGCCCCCGGGGCGACAAAGGCCAGGCAAGCAGGAACACGCCCGCAGACCGCAGCTCCTCCAAGGAGCACAACCTGTGATGTGCCTGGACTTGCCTCTGCCCTCCCCCCCAGGTAGCCACATGCTTTCCTATGGGTCCCTCCCTCAGGCCCTGCCCCTCACCCCCACTCCTGTCCCTGCTGATTAAGACCACCTCCCCGCCGGAGCCTTGCCTCTCGCCTGATTCCGGGCTGGGGAGGTGGACAGGGGGAGTTGGGACCCTTCCCTCCCAAGCCAGGCAACCTGGATAAGGGTATCTGGGGTAGGAAGCCCCTTGAGGTGTTGAGGAAAGTCAGCCACTGGGCAGTAAAGGGAGGGAGCCAGGCAAAGGGAGCATTTTTAGGACAGGAGACTAGAAGCATCTGGAAATGGTGTTGCAGAAAGGGGCCTGAGTAAGGCTTGCAGCATGAGTGACCTTGATTCCCAGCCGGGGGCAGGGTGGTCAGGTGGGGGCTGGCCCTGCCTTCCCATCCCCCAATCCCTGGGGAAGGCCTCCTGACCACAGAAGGAGGTGGTGCTCCTGCTGCCTTGTGTGACTGTCCACCAGGCAGCAGTGAAGCTTTGGGACTGTTGCTCCCACCCCAGCCCCCACCCCCAGGTTCCCAGAGATGAGGTGGCCTGTGGGCCCTGTCCTGTCCCCCAACCAGAGGCGAAACAGAGCCTTGGCCCCTCCCCCACCCCCCTACAGAGCAGCTCTTCCAGGTGCCAGGTCCAAAGGGGGGTCTCCAGGCAAGAGGTGAAGGACCCTAACTCAAGCCACAGAGACCTTACCCCATGATCCCCAGTCACTCTGCTCAGTTGTCACATCCCCAGAGGGGCCCTCCAGCCTGACCACCAATCTGAAGCAACCTTGTCTCTGACCCTGTTTTTTTTTCTTCTTAGCACTGATCTCTCCATGAAAGAATCTGCTTTATTTTAAATCTCTGCCTTCCTCTCCTAGAATGAGAGGCCCGTGAGGGCACATCCATCACACAGGGTGGCAGATTCAGCCATAAAGAAGCCAGCACTCTGGGTGGGTTCAGACACTTTACCGCTCAAGTAGCCAAAAAAAGCAAAGGAGCAGAAGTGTCAGCTCCCCATGTCCCCTGTACCCCAGGAAGACACTGAAAAGAAAGGGCCAGATCACAGGTGGCACCCTGTTGTTGAGGACCCACTACATGCTACAGGTGTACCCTGGGGCCCAGTGGACTGCCCCATGCCCCGTTAGAGCCAGGGGAGCGTAGGAATGCCTATTGGCAGCCTTCCCATGTTCTGCCATGGCCTAGGTGCCTCTGTAGGTTCACACAAGGCCATCAGGATGCCCACACAGAGCCATGCCCTCTGCCGGCCTCACTCACTCACCACTATATCCACAGGGTCTAGAGCAGTGCCTGGCACCCAGTGGGAGCTCAGTGAGTATTTGTAGATGACCAACCTGAGGAGAGGGTGGGGCTAGACAGGAGATGAAACAGGTATCCTCACTCGGTACTCTCTATCCCGACATTACCGTTTGCAGCATTTTAACCCCACATTCACTGTCTGATTAAATAAATAGCTACTATAAGACCTTGACCTGTGTGAGCTGTGTTTGTCCCTGGCGACAGGGCATGGCCTGAGCCTCAGGGGAGGCTCCGTTGTCCTGATGGGGCCTGTTGCAGGCAGGCTTGTGTTCCTTAACGGTGCCCCCGCTGTCACTGTCACTTCCCCCACTCGTAGGTGTCTGAAGGGAGCTAGTGAGCCTGAGAGGCCTGAAACGCATTAGAAGAAAAATCGGAGGGGAAAGGTCACAGCAGAGGTGTGAAAGGGAAATGTGGGTACCTGATGCCCGTGGCCTCCTGTGCAGCTCACAACCTGCTCACTAGCTTAAGTGTCAACTCACTATGCAAGGAGACCCAGGGGGTCTGAGAGGTCCCACGGACCCTCTCAACAGCATTAGGATGTAGGCACCCAGCATCTTCCATGTTTTGTCGAGGCAGACAGGGGCTGGATTTGAAGATGAGGGGACCAGCAAGGGCTAGGCCTGGGAAGTGGGGTGGATGGTGACCTCTACGTGGCAGCTCCTGATGGGGCAGTTGTCGGAGTAAAGACCTACAAAATGACATCATTGTGGGGGGAAACTTGGAGGGGGAGGGCGGGACCAGGATGGAGGAGGGCCCCAGTGCCAGGCTGTAGGGACAGCTGTGCAAGTCCTGACCAGAGCACACAGGAGCTGGCTAACAGAGCTGTAGTTGCCCAGCAAAGAAAGACCCAGCCTGGCAGTGGGGAAAACTGAGGCAGTGGTGTGGCCCTGGAGACTGATGGTCAGGGCTGGACCTACCTGACCCAGGGTCCTGTCCTTCAGCTGGGTCCATTATTTGGTTGCTGGGGTCTGAGAAGGAGTCTGACGTGAGGATCTAGAGCTGACCCCGGGGGTCTCAGTCGCCGTCTGACTACTGCCCGGAGCCCACCAGGCCCGTTGCCTTCGAGAGCATGAGTGAGCAGGAGAGGGAGACAGAAGAGGACGAGGGAGGGGGCGCTTCAGACACAGCACCCATGCTGCCCCGAAGGCGTCCTGACCACCAGGCATCGGCCCTGTTATCTTCAGGGTGGGCAGGCCTGGCTGCCAGAGGCCTCGGGCCCCTGCTGCTGCCCAGCCGGATTCTGGCCGGGCTCCTGCTCCACCTGCTGCTGCCCTCGACCGTGTTCCTGCTGGTGCTGATGCCCGCGGCTGGGGTCATCTACCTGGGATTCCTGTGCCACTCCAGGGTGAGCTGAGTCCTCCGTGGGCGGGGCGCTGGCTGGATCCCTGGGATGTTCCGGGCCCTGGGCCTGAAGGTGAATCTTCCCCCTTCTGGCACAGCCCGGTTGTCCCCAGAGACACTGTGTCCCTCCCGGAGAGCCCTTCTTCTGCCAACCCCTCCCCCACTGGCCACAGCAGAAGAAGGGCTTTTGTTCCCCACTGGGGGTGGGGGCAGCTGTCTCCCCTCCCCCGAGGCCTCCCAGCCTTGTACCAGGAGCCACCAGGGCCTGGGCAGCCGGGCAGGGTGGGACGAGGAGGGGGTTCCACGAAGAGCAGATGATGTCAGATTTCACCAGCCCACACCCCCTCCCACCCTTACAACCCTCACACCGCCCCTGGCGGACCCCTCCTGCCCTGGGCTGGGCCTCCCCACCTGCAGTGCGCTGTGGCTTGGGCCGCGGCAGGGAGGGTGCGGGCGGATGGGCCCCGTGTCCCCTGCCCATAGGCATAAGGCAGGAGAAGGTGGCGCCAGCTGGCGGCACCCACAGGTTGGGGCTCCTGGTTAGATACCAGCACAGAGAAGGGCCCTGGGAGAGCAGTGGGGGGGGCAGCGGGGATCCAGCAGCAGCGAGGAGGGGCGGGAATTGTTTGAGCCTCGCCTCAGGTGATTCCCATTTACCCCTCGGGTTCCTCGTCTCCCATCCTCGACTCGGGAACAACAGGCCCACCCTCTGCGGGCCTCGGCCGCCCACTCCCCCAGACCTTAGGCCCCGCCCCTCACACGCCCTAGCCCCGGCGTTACGCTCCAGGCCCCGCCCACCTGCTGCCT